GAGTGGTAGTTCCGTTCTGTTGTGTGGTTCGGAATCTGTGTTGGTCCTGAACTCCGGGAGGACTATGCCTTGATACCCTTAAGTTCGGCCTTGACACTCCTTCACGACACTTAAGTTCAGGATTTGTATTGTAGTGCTGTCTCACTACACTCTCCCCGCCATCAGGGCTTAACGCTTTGAGGTCTTTGACCTTATGTGTCGAGCGTTGCTCTTCTGAGACCTGCGTTTGAGAGAGCGCTCTTTGGCAGCATCTGCTTTGGCAGTCTGAAGTTGATATTCAGCCAATAAGCGTTTGCATCGTGAGCCAATCATGTCTTTGGCCTGAACGTATGTCGCTTCATATTCCGGATAGCCGAGCCACTTTACTAGGTACTCGAGTCTACCGCGATGCTTTCTGTGGCGCAGGATTCGTTCCATTGCGTACACATCATCGCTGAACCCTTGCAAAGGACCTGGTCGATGCACAGATCGGGTGCCTTTCGTTCTCTTCAGGAACTTGATGTTGATGACATCGTGTATGCGCACTTTCAATGGTGAGAAGTCCACGCGATAATGCGCTGGACCGAGAACGTTCTTAATCTTGAACGGACCATCGTATGGTGGTGTGAGTTTGTTTGAGCGGTACTTCGCATCTTCATTTCGTAATAAGTGTGTGCTAACATACACTTCGTCTCCCTCCCTGAAGGGGGGTTCAATGTGTTCTGATGACGAAGCCTTGTCAAAGTGCTGTTGCAAGTTGGAGGATGCTTCATGCTGTATCTTTGCCAACCGATCCATGAGCTCGTCTGGGAGCACAGGGCTTTGCCTGACAAGCGAGCAGGCAGTCCAATCTGTCTTGGAATAATGCCGTTGCAAACCTCGAAGGGTGCCATCTTCGTGGAGGCGGCGGGTGATGAGTTGATAGCAAACTCAATCGTAGGTAGGTAATCAACCCATGCACTTTGATTCGACTTTGCGTATGAGCGGAGCATATTCCCAACGACTCTGTTGACTCTTTCGGTCTGTCCGTCGGTCTGAGCGTGGGCCGCTGTTGACATTTTCATTTGCACGCTGAACTTGTGCATGACTTTCCTGAACAGAGCTGCGGTGAACCGCGGATCCCTGTCGGAGATGAGGACTTCGGGGAGTCCGTGTAACTTGTACACATGTTGAATGAATAGTGAAATACAACCCTGGGCATCGACAGTGCTGGACGTAGGGGCCAAATGGACCATTTTGGAATACTTGTCTACGAACACGTAGATAGCGTCGTGTCCTTGAGATGTAGTTGGTAGTCCAACCATCAAGTCCATTGTGACTGTGTGCCACGGGTATGGTGCCACCGGCAAGGCTTGGGTGGGGACCTTGAGTCTACGACCACTCTTTGCCGTTGCGCATGTGTGACAAGTGTCAACGTACTCTCGAATCGCACTGTGCATCCCCGGCCAATAGAATTCGCGCGCAGCGCGGGCCTGAGACTTGGAAACACCTTGATGTCCACTGCTCAGCCCATCATGCGCCATGGCCATTACGCTTTTATGGCTGGAAGATGGCACGCAGATGCGGTTCTTGTGATAGAGTAGATCGCCGACACGCTTGTACTGTGGAAAGGACGCGAGGTCGTGAATGACCTTCTCCCAGAAAGGGTCTTTGAGGTAGTCAGACCAGCGGATGTTGACTGTCTCGTCTTCAAGCAGCTCCCTGACCATGCAAGTGCGAGAGAGTGCATCCGCAACGACGTTTTTGTCGCCTGGAATGTACTTGAAAGTAACGTTGAAGTCTGAGAGGAAGAGCGACCATCGCTGAATGCGGGCTTCCTGTATCTTGTTCTGTGCCAACACTCGCTCAAGCGACTTGTGGTCGGTGTAAACAGTGATGGGGCGACCGATACAAAGGTAACGCCAATGTTGCAGAGCTTTGATGACGGCATACAGCTCCTTCTGCCTGATTGGCCAGTTTCGCTCATGCACTGAAAGGGTGCTGGAGTAGAACTCAATGGGGCGACCCTTGTGCTGGAGAACAGCGCCGACTGCTTTGTCGGAGGAGTCTGTAAACAGATCCAGTGGCTCTGTAGGATCAAGGTCGAGCGTGGGACACAACGTGGGCAACTTGGCCATGGTGGCCTTGAGATTGTTGAAGATTCGCGAGTCATCCTGCGTCCAGTTTGACAGTCGCTTCTTCGAGTTTTTCTTTGTGCCACTTGTGTGCCTGAACAATGGTTACACATAGTCGGAGTAATTGCGAATGTATTTCTTGTAGTAGTTTGCAGCGCCAAGAAACTGTCGCAAATCGTGAGCAGTCTTGGGCAGTGGCCAGTGAAGAACTGGGTCGAGTTGTTTCTCAATGGGGCGGTGCCCTTCTTCTGAAAGGGTGTGACCAAGCCATTCCACGGAATTTGTCACGAAATCGCATTTTGCTTTGTTCAAGTGCAAATGATTTTGCTTGAGCGTTTTCAAAACGTCTTCAACAATTTGGAGATGATTATCAATCCCATTTGAAGAGTGAATGAGAATGTCATCCAAGTAACAGGAGACGTTTTCGGAGGGAAGATTTTTCAAAATGTGATCCATGATGCGTTGGTATTGAGCAGGGGCGTTTGCCAGCCTGAAAGGAAGGACCGTGTACTCAAACTGACCCATACCAGGTGCGAAGAATGCTGTCAGCTCACGTGCTTTTGGTTTGAGTCTCACTTGGTGATATGCGGATTTAAGATCAAGTGATGTAAACAGAGAATGTCCAGATGCTTTTGTAATGAGTTCGGACAGCAGGGGCAAAGGGTATCTGTTAGGGATCGTTAATGCATTCAATGCACGGTAGTCCACACACATCCTCAAGTTCTTGTCCTTTTTAACCACAAATAGTACAGGAGAAACCCAAGATGAAGTGGACGGTTGGATCCACCCCTTGTCCAGGAGGTCCTTGACCGTTTCATTTGCGCGAAATCGTGCCACTGTTGAAGTCGAAAACGGGTTGGGCCCGTTGCAGCCAATCCATACCGAGCAGGAGATCCACAGAGAGATCTTTCACTGCTGGCAGGCACATGCTGGTGACATGGCCACACCACTCGATCTTGCCAGTGGCGTAACGATCGGTGGTGCTGGTGCTGCCATCCGCGAGAGCAAGCGTAAGCTTAGCTCCGGGACGTGTCTCAGAAAAGTTGCTGAGTTTACACAATGACCTCTCGGCCCCAGTGTCCACAAGCGCTCGCAGTCTCTTGTTACAGAAGAGCACATTAGTGCTAATCAAAGAGGAGTTGCGAGTGCAAGCGTTCACGGACACAACGGTGACCGGCCTGCCTTCCTCGTCAAATTGCATGTCCTCAACGATGCCAATTTGCTTCACGGACTCAGTGAGCTGCGAAACAGACTCAGCTGGATCAACTCGTGGAAGAGGTCGAGGAGGCGGAGGCGGAGGAACGTGCGAGGCATCATGCAGCTCAGCACCGGCTTGTGTCGGGTTGACACGCACCGTGTTGGTGGCCGTTGGCCCATCCAACTGTTTGCCATTCACGTGACGCCGAGCATGGCAATCACTGACGACATGGTTGGTGCGACCGCACCGACTGCACGGTGGCAGTTTGCGAAGCTGATGCTGTTTGGGACGACGGTTCCTCATGCGAGGCTGGTGCGAGCGCGGCGGTTGTTGTGGTGGAAAGCGCTTGCTACGCTTGAGGTCGGAAGAGGCCGTGTCGTGGCGGCGCTTGCTGCGCACGATGGAGAAGTACCGGTCCACGAGGATGATGGCGTCGTGCAGAGTCTTGGGCTGCTTGTCCGAGATGAAGAGCTGCAGACGCGTGTCGTGGAACCCGGCGAGGTACGTGCACACCACGTGAAGCTCGGGATTGACGTTGGCCAGCAGGCTGCGGGCGCGCTCCGAGTACGCGGCGTGGTCCTCGTCCGTGCGAATCTCCAGGTGGGCGATGTCCATGTGCCGAGACCAATCACATCGGGGGGCGAAGCGAGCCGAGCACGTGTTGAGAAAGACTTGCCAGAGCTTGTCCTTGTCCTCGGTACTCGCCTGCGCCGTGTCGGCATGTTCCTGGCAGAAGTCCAGCGCAATCCGCGAGAAGCTATCGTCGTTCGTCTTCGGGATGGCGTACTTGAGATTGTCCATCGGGTGGGAGCCGTAGAGCTTGCACAAGTTGGCGAACCATTCCAGGTTGTCGAAGGGCTTGTCCACAAGCTTGGCAACAAGGTCCGAGACGCATGGCTTGGCGTCCTCCTGAAGACGAGGAGCGTTGATAGCATTGGCGCTGGAAACCGAAGGAGTAGAGCGGGGCATCGTGACCTGATAAAGGTTGGGAAGTTGGGAGGTATACAGAGAGATATGCGGGTGAGAATCGTAGAACGACAATCGCTACCAAGTGTTGTGATGTGACTGGTCTGTGTGTGTGTGAGAGTGTTTGACTGGGACTTAGAGTAGGGTCTTGCTGTATACTGTGCGGGAGACGTAGTCGCAAGTAAAGAAGACAGGGTAATAGGATAGGGCAATGAGATAAGTGGAGTGATAAGATAAGTGACAACAATCAAGCAAGGAAAGTAGAGACAGGCACAAGGTCAAGAGAGACGAGCAAGGGGGTCGGATCTTGGGTGTTGGTGTCCTCGGTGAGGAGTGGTAGTTCCGTTCTGTTGTGTGGTTCGGAATCTGTGTTGGTCCTGAACTCCGGGAGGACTATGCCTTGATACCCTTAAGTTCGGCCTTGACACTCCTTCACGACACTTAAGTTCAGGATTTGTATTGTAGTGCTGTCTCACTACACTTCATGTGTACGACTTTGGTGGAAGCCGGGCCTATCACGTGATCCACACGCTCATGATGTCGGATCGCTTCGCTGCGTTTGTCGTCTGCGTCGACCTCTCCCAACCAGAAGAGCACGTGAAGGAGCGCGCCAACTACTGGCTGCAGTTCATCTGCACGCGACTGAAGCAGGGCATTGCGGCTGCCACAGCAACAGCAGGCGGCGACGAGACAGAAGACACGAAGCCGCGCGTCGTGATCGTGGGCACCAAGAGGGATCTTGCCCGAAAGATTGGGCTTGTTGAAGCATTTTGGCAGCCCACTTGGAGCGCAGCGATAGTCGCACACCTCAAAAGAACGTATGGCAGCATCGTTGACATCCAAGACAGCCTCATCTCCCTCAACTGTCATGGGCGTGGTGATGTCAGTTTCAACACGCTTCGCGCGCGCCTTGTGCGACACTGGCGGTGGATGAAAGGGCAAGAGGTTCTCGTCCCCAGAGTTGTGGATCGGCTTGCGACAGCCCTCCAGTCAGCCAGGAATGAGAAGCCAACGTGGGTCATCGATTCGCTCTTTCAGTTTGTCCGAACCCACACGCCTGGACTCGACTTGACCTCCTTTGACATGACAATGTTTTCTTCTGCGCTGAGGTAGGCTTGCAAGACTTCGCAGATTTGTCATCCTTGTTGTGCAAACAGTTGACTGACTTGAGGACCAGTGCCAGAATACTCACACACGCCTACACCCTTGCTGTCCCTGCTTCCCACACATGTACACAGGTACTTCCACACACGTGGCGATCTGCTCTGGTATTCCAACACCCCATCCTTGGCGGATTTCGTCTGTGTTGACCCCAACTGGCTGCTTCATGACGTGCTGGGGAGAGCGCTGACGCCGGATGGCGTGCAGCAAGGCTCGATCACAAAAAAAGGCGTTGTGACCTTCACAGACCTGGAAACCGCATTTGATGGCATCGCCGACGCAGATCTCGTCATCAACGTGCTGCAGCACATGCTCCTCTGCTTCGAGCTGCCGCCTTCGAACTATGGCCAACAGCGATTCATGCTACCGAGCCGTGTTGAGGAGGAGGTCGATCTTGCGACCGCCTGGCCTCAAGCTGGTTTCTGGCCTCTCTATGCCGGACGACTGCTGGTGGTCGAGAGCAAGGCACTTGCGCTGCCACCTGGCTTCTTCCCGCACGTGCAGACACTGCTGCACAATTCGTTTGGCACAACCCTTAGGGTGTGGAAGGATGCCTTCTTCTGTGAACACGATGGCGTGCAGTGCCTCGGACTGCTGCGTGGCGATCGACAAGTCGACGTGTGGGTGCGCGCGCCTTCTGGCGCAGAGCACAAGGCCCTGCCATTCATGACAAAGGTCAGTTTGTGAGCGATTGTGTGTGTGTGAGAGAGAGTGTGTGTGTGTGTGTGTGTGTGTGTTGTGTTGTGTGTGTGTGTGTGTGTGTGTGTGTGTGTGTGTGTGTGAGAGAGAGAGCTTGCGTTGTTGTGCCCCATCGCTTGCCAGGGAATGGCCAGTCCATATTTCCCCTCTGCTCGCCCTCATCCCATCCTCTGCTTGATGGTAGGTGCTGTCGGTGCTGCAAGAGGAAGCAACAGGGATTGACCACGTCCACCTCGTCCTCAGCACGAAACACCTGAAGCGCCACGAAAAGTACCCAGCTGCGCACAAGCTTGAGGATCTGACAGGCAAGGACCCAGACGAGCTCGTCACATCCACGCACCACAGGGAAAGCCAGACCCCAGTGTCCGACCGCGTTGGCGATCTGTTGCTGCAGGCGCCCACGCAACCACCACCCATCATGCCGTCTTGGCAATTGCGCGACCACGAATGGCACCACCCTGCTTGGCGGCTTGATGACACCTTTGATGAGCAGCTCCCGTGGAGCGGACCAAGCTCGCATGGCGTGTATTCGGCACCCTTGCCACCAAACACCGACCTCTATCGATGGATTGAGAGTCAGATGGCGCCGGGCCTCACCCTGTCGCGCGTGGAGATGATCAAGTCCACCACAATGCTCGATGCCTTTCACACCGAAATGAAGAAATCGGCGACGCGCCGTGGCGATCCAGACCCTACCAACCCCGTTGCTGCAGACCCTACCAACCCCTTCAACAAGGACTTTGGGGCTGGCGATCCGGAGAAACAAGCCATGCTCGATCGGCTCAAGACGCAGTTTGCAGAAACACCCGACAGCGTGAAGCACGTCAATGTGCTGATTGGTTTCCACGGCTGTGACGAGGCTGTCACCGACGACATCACCGCCGCGGGCACCGCCAACCTCAGTAACCCGAACGACCCTGGCTTCTTCGGCGCTGGCATCTACCTCACACCACAGGCCAATTACGCAGCTGGCTACTCGACACGCCTGCTGACTGGAAACTGGCGCGCACCCAACGCAGATGGCGAGCACGTAATGCTCCTGTGCGCTGCCAGCGTCGGCCTCGCATACCCGATCACCAGAAGCAAGGACTACGCATCGTCTGGGGGAAACAAGTGCAAGAAGTTCTGGGGCAAGAAGCTGAAGAACGGCTGCGACACCCATTATGCTCAAGTGACGAAACGCATGAGCTATCAATCCACCGACACGCCTGCCACCTTTGACTTCGAGGAGTATGTGGTCTCACAAGAGGCGCAGGTTTTGCCATTCGCCAAGGTGTGTGTCAAGGTGGACAAAACAGCACTCGCAGCGCAACTCTAGCCACATGTGTGCGCGTGTGTATGTGTGTGTGTGTGCCTGTCTGTGTGTCTGTCTGTCTGTCCGCCCGTCTGTCTGTTCATCTGCCCGTCCGCCCGTCTATCTGTCCATCCTCCGTCTGTCTGTCGACCTGCCCGTCTTTTCCTTTCCTTACACCGTTCCCCCCTCCTTTGTTGTGTGGTGACACCGTTGCCCTTTGTGTTTCAGGGCCTTTCACATTGGCACTTTGCTCTTCTGTTCGTAGCATCGTTCTTTGAGACTCTTACTCCTTCACCCAAACCCTGCGCCACTTCACAACACCCTCTTCTTCGTGCCACCGATGCTGCTTCTCTTCATTTGCCAACTACACAAGCACAAAACCAATGCGGCTCACAACACTCAGGCACTACTACACACTGCACTCAGGCAACAGACATGGCAAATACATTAGCAGCAAGTAACAGCGACCCCAGCATCACTTTGCGCTGTGAACCTTGACAAGTTCAACTCACGCATTTACTCAAGAGGGTGGACAGTGCGACAAGTGGATGCGCAACACGAATCAAAGGAATGGAGAGCGACATCAAAACGACACACGAAGCAGAAGCGCAACGCCAGCTCCCCTATCGAAGCCAGAGAAGCCACAAGCAGCAACCGTCCCCTCAACCTCACGCACGACCAACTTCCCGTTCACATCAACCACTCAAGTAAACCCCATTCCCTGCACCGGCTCTTCTTGACCGCGTGCAGCACGCCCTGCCACTGCACGCTGCCACCGTCACGGCCGACGCCGCTGCCCTTGGGCACGAGCACGTGCAGCCACATGGGGAAGCGTCGCGCATCCATCTGCTCCTCCTGCGTCAGCCATGCGTCCTGCTCCCGCAAGACGCGTGCGCGCAGCAGCTGGAACTCAATGTCTGCGCGGTCCTGGATGCGCTCGTACAAGTCCGACATGAGCGCAATCAGCAGGTTCAGCAGCACGACGGGGACCAACACCATGGAGATGACAAACAGGATGCGCAGCAGCGCCACGTAGTCGCCGTCAAAGGTGTCCAGCTCAAAGTCTGCCAGCAACAGCATGTTGAACATAAGCAGCAGCCCATTGGCTGGGTCGCCCAGTCCTTCAACCAGCAGCGTGGTATCATCACGCAGCAACAGCCGGAACGACGTCCACCCGGCCACGATGCTGATACCAAGCACCAACAGGAAGTAGCGCATGTCGAAGCAGATGGCCAGGATCATGCGCACCAGCGGGCCAGTCGACTGGAACGGCTGCAGGTAGTACAACAGCCCGTACCACCGCAGATACACCGCAAGCGCCAAGAACGCGCGCGCGTGCTGCCACCCAGCAAAGTACGCGCCCAGCACCACAAACACCAACACCACATTCGTCACGTCCAGCCAGTTCCACAAGTCGAGCCAGTAGCCGTGCACCAACCGTGACTGCCGCACCTCCTGCAGCATGTCCACTCCAGCCAGCACGCCCAGCACCACCATGATCACCACTGACACGACATCGCTGCCGTTGTTGCTGTTGCTGCTGTTGTCGGCTGCACCCAGCAGCTGGGCCACGTCCTTGCCACTGGTGTTGAAGACGAAGGTGAGGGCGGTGATGAGCGCCACAGAGAGCATGTACCACGCCGCCTCCCACAGGAACAGGCGCTGCCCGCTCGTCTGCCACTTGTACTGAATGACGGCGCGAACAATGAAGCTGCCAAACAGCTCAGCATCGCCCGTGTCCACCAGCGTCTCAAGCAGGCTGGGGCCGTCATTCACAAACCCAGCAGCACGCGGCAACGGCACCACGCGCGCCTCCACCAGGGAAGCCGCTGAGTTGGCGTCTTGAAGCTTGGCCAGCTCACCAGACTCACGCATGTCGGCCCATAGGTTGCGGTTGATGCTGAGGGTGTTCGCGCCCGTGACGATCATGCGTGACGACGGCAACTGGACCTCTGCCGGAGCGTCCACACGCGTCCGCACGAGGCCGAGGCTGTCCAGGAAGGCAGAGGCGATGGAGGGGAAGTGCTTGGTGAACAAGGTCACGTCGGCCGTGAAGGCAGGGCCGAGCCTGGGAATGTTGAGGAATGGCTTGCTCAGCATGCGTCCGGCGTCGCCTCTGGTCTCTGTGCTGCGTGCTGTTGCGACAAAGAAGTTGACGATGGTCTGGACGTTGACGTCCTTGGATCGCATGGTGGCGGTGGTGAGCATGGATGGCTGCTCAACAAAGTCCACACACACCACACCTTCCATCATCTTCTTTGCCATGTCAAGATGCTTGGCAGATGATGTCAGGTACGGCAATGCAGTGACATCGTAGTCAGCAAGCTTGTGCGCATCTGCGGGAGGTGTTGCTGGTGGAACAACAACAGGCACAATGGCGTCGGGGCGGCATCTGGGGTCTGTTGTTGGGCGGAAATGGCACAGGTCAAACTGCTCTGTGGGGATCATGGCGCGGTTCAGGGTCGGTCCCAGCGCCCACAGGGCAACCCTGCCTCGTGAAACGCTGCTTGAAACAGTGAGCAGGCGCTGGTGATCGCACATGACCATGTCATCTGCTCTGTCATTGCGATGCAGTATGGTGGTGTGCTGTAGTCGCACTTGATCACGCTCTCAACAGAGTTGACGAACAAGATGCTGCTGCGACGGGCAAAGACGCCGAACTTGACCGGAACGTTTCTGCTCACTTTGAGCTTGCTGAGGACCTTGTGGTTGGCGACGTCACACACAAACATATAACCTCGCGCAGTGCCGATCGCCAGCAGGCTGTCATCAGTTGGTGGGTGGCCATGGTGGTGACGATCATGTTGGTGTTCGGCTCTGCCTCGTCCACAAACAAGTCATCCAACACCGCCACACGCGTCAGCGCACTGCTCACACCACTACTGCTGCCGCTCACTTGCTGCTGCTCCTGTTGTTGCTGCTGCTGCTGCTGGTCATGCTTCGGTGTTCAATGAGGTAGAAGTGCACTGTGTTTCCGTATGCGAAGGCAAACTTGTTGCTGCTGTCCGCAAGCGCTGCAATGCGCGGGACACGAACGCCCGTGACCTCTTTGGGTTCTGCCAACGTCGCACGATCAACACAAAGGGGCGTGTCGTTGTTGTTGCTGCTATTGTCGTTGTTGGAGCCATTGTTTCTGTCCCTTCATGTTGTGTTGTTGCTGATCGTGTGATATGAGGGTGCTGAGATCCCACACGCGCAAGTCGGTGGAGGTGGACGCAGTCACCAGGAAGCGGCCATCAGGGATGACGCGCAACGCATCCACGGCAGTGCGCTAAGGCTCCTTACTCGCCGGTTCCGCCTCTACTTCTCTCGCTGCTTCTCCGTCCGCGTCTTGCACCACCTCTTTGTCATTACCGACAGCATCTGTCCTCCACTCTGCAAGTAGGGTCGATGGCTGACCAAGCTGCCACACGGAGATGACACCCGCCTTGTTGTCCGCGATGTACAGAGTGGGCGTGACTGCCATGCAGCGCGTGTGTTCGGAGGTGGACGGCACGGCACGACCGCCATGCACTTGAGGTCTGGCACGCGGTGCAGCTTGCACTCCTAGGGCTCCTTCTGCCACCTCTCGATGACGCCACCGGACGTGGCGGCGCATGCAAGCTCAGCGCCAGGGAAAGGATTCTCGTAGATGACTGTGCGTTCAGCCTCATGTGCACCGAGGCCGTAGATGTACACGCGGGAATAAGAGGGGCCGATGAGGTGCTTGCCGTCCTTGGTCCACACCATGTCGGTTGCTGTGACGGGCATGCGCTGCTTGCACTCCAGTGTGTGCATGTCCCAAACAAAGGACTCAGCGACCAGCAGGCTGCCATCGGGGCTGAGGCTGGCGTATGAGTAGCCGCCCTGCTCAGAAGAAGCAGAAGGACAGCTGCCAGCAGCTTGAGAGAGACGAGGGTAGGAGTGCGTGTCTGATGTGCAGAAGATTCTGGGAAGACTGGTGCTGAAATGGATATGCGGTGTTTGTTCGTGTTTCGTGTTGAGAGGGAAGTGTTGTTGGATGGATGAGTAGCTGTACTGAAGTGTGTCGATGGTGTGAACCAAAGAACTGAACCAGCGCACGCAACGTGGACGGAACACGAAAGAAAGGTCAAAGCACCAACGGAAGAGAAAGGAACAACTGTTGCAGGGGGAAGAGCAGCAGCTTGAGGATGTACGTGTCGCGCGCACACACACACATAGACACACGCATGCACACACGTCGCCATCCTCGTTTGTCAGGGCGACGTCGTCAAACACAAGCAGCTTCTTCTTCTTGGTGTCCAGGCCTGCCTCCTGTGCCAGGCGCTTGATGCTCTTGCTGGTTGGCGTGTCGTCCTGCCTCGTAATCTCGGGCATCTTGCCAGAGCTGTTTGCCTTGCGGCGCGCCTGGATGAGGGCGTTCACCTGCGCCCACCAGCCTTCATCATCTGGCACATTCTGTGTGTGTGTGTGTGTGTGCGTGCGTGTGTGCGTGCGTGTGTGCGTGCGTGCGTGCGTGTGTGTGTGTGTGTGTGTGTGTGTGTGTGTGTGTGTGTGTGTGTGTGTGTGTGTGTGTGTGTGTGTGTGTGTGTGTGTGTGTGTGTGTGTGTGTGTGTGTGTGTGTGTGTTTGTGTGTGTGTTTGTGAGGATTCACAAGTGGGTGCGGTTGAGACTCACAGCAACTGCTGCCAACTCACACACTCAAACACACACACACACTCAAACACACACACACACACACACACACACATTCACACACTCTCCCCCTTCTTCATGGCACCGCGTTGGACACGTACGACGGGGATGTCGATTGGCGGGAGCTTGGAGTAGTCAACGACAGGCTTGACAGGGTACACCTTGCGCTTGTTGATGAACCACGCCGCAACATCTGTCCACAAAACAAAGCACGACGTGCGCAAGGATGAGGAACGGCATCAATTTGTGTGTGTGTGTGTGTGCGCGTGTGTGCATGTGTATGTGGGTGGGTGTGTGCATGTGTATGTGTGTGTGTGTGTGTCGAGTCACAAGCGTCGTAGCCATTCAATGGTGCGAAAAGCTCCAAGCAAAGCCCATGCCATCGCGGCTCACCGCTTGGTGTGGAGCTTGTTCTCTTCGCTTGGATACTTGGTCCGGTGCACCTGACCATCATCGCAGATGAGGCAGAGACGTCAGCATAATCAAAACTATACACGCAGCCATCACCACCCGACCCCAAGCAACCGCCATCACCATCTACCCCCCAAGCAAACAAGTCGCCCCACAGCCAGCCCACCTTGAAGACACATGCGTAGAGGTTGGCGGCGGCAATCAGAAACTCCTTGTGCAACGGATTCTGCGGATCAAACTCGAGCGCCTCGGGGAAGATCTTGTGGCCTTTATGGGCAGCACACGCGAGGGGCGAGGGGCGAGGGGCGAGGGGCGAGGGGCGAGGCAAACACGCGATCAGTTGCGGTGTGGATGGTGCTGCCAGAGCGAACACAAACAAACAAACAAACAAACACACACACACACACACACAAACAAACACACGCACGCACGCACATATTCAGACACAGACACAGACACACACACACACACACACACACACACACACACACACACACACACACACACACACACACGCGCGCGCGCGCGCGCGCGAGCTCTCACCTGACCAGAAGGGCTCTCCACTCTTGGTCTTTGCGCCTGCGGGGAAGGTGGCGATGAGTTGCAGAATGACATCGCGGAAAAACGCGTGGAAGTCGCGCCACGCCAGCGACACACACGTCTACATCGTCGGCTTCTCTTGCAGCTGAGAGATAACACGCGCCAGCTGTAGTGGTGGTGGTGGTGGGGGTGGTGGTACGGTGATGTTAACCCTCATAAGCAGGAAAGGGCGTGTCATCACAAGCTCCACCACACATCCACCACCACAATCATCACCTTCGCCAACACCAGCACCTGTGCGGCGAGGTCCTTGATGGCCTTGAGCGTGTCCACGCCGCGTTCGAGGGCGCCAATCCGCTCGTGCTGCTCAAACTTCGTCTCCAGCCCCGAGATGAACCCCTCAGGGTTCTCCAGGAACTGCTGCAGCTGCGACGCAGGGCTCACAAACAGGTCCGTGAACTTGGCCCGCGCCCACTCGATGCAGTGGTCGATGAGGTGCGGGAAGTTGCGCAGCGTGCACATGGGAATGCCGCCACCTGAGAACAGGAAAGAAGAGGGCGAAAAAAGATGTTGAGTGGCGGTGAGACGATGTGTTCGGACAGGGTGGAATCGAAAGTGCAAGCTACACAAATGCACACACGCACGTGTACACAGCACACATACCTGCTTCTGCGTCGCCGCCGTCGCTGAATGAGTTGGTGGTGTGCGGCACAATGACGTCGACTTTGGCGCCCGTGCCCATCGTCCCGCTCTCCAGCAGCGGCTTCTCGTACAGCACACACTTGCTGTCAACAGGTTGTTTGTGTGTGTGTGTGATATTGAGGGTGGTTCGTGTGTATAGATCAAGATAGTAGGTGAGTGTGCATACAGTCGAGTTGAAATCTCATCACTCGACGTGTTGTCTGCCTGTCTGCACACAACACAACACACACACACACACACACACACACACACACACACACACACACACACACACACACACACACACACACACACAAAATCGTCTTGACCTACGTTGAAGTTGAAGAACTGGCGGATGGGCCTGCAGCGGCCGCTGATCTTGACGAGCTCCTGCGCAACAACGCCTTCCTTGTACACGCGGACATCGATGATGGGAACGGTGATGGTGATAACAGTGAGGGTAAGGGGGAGGGGAGTGAAGGCGAGGTCTGAGGTTCAGCATGCGCAGTGCATCATCATGTTCAATACACCATGGCACCATCAAACATAATACACCAATCCCGCTGAAAAACACGCGGGGTTACGCACACGCTTACACAGCACACACACGCACATACACGAGCACGTACTGACCTCAGGGCAGCTGGTGTAACAGGGGAAGATTATGATGCTCTCAACTGGCATCCCCTTGGTGTCTGCATCTCACCATGCCGCAGTGCATGGCCTGGTCAATCGAGGTTGTGTTTGTGAGTGTGTGTGTGTGTGTGTGTGTGTGTGTGTGTGTGTGAGTGAGTGAGTGAGTGAGTGAGTGAGTGAGTGAGTGAGTGAGTGTGTGTGTGTGTGTGTGAGGCACATTGCTATGGGTGGGTGAACGCTGTGCCTTGGCTGTGACAACCCGAGCCTGTGATGTTGACTGTGATGGTGCGGTTCACAATGTCTGTTGACGAAACAACTCATCAAAGCACACACACACACACACATACGCGTGTGGAAGAACAAACAAACCTATGTGGTGCTGGTGTTGGCATTTCTTTCTTTGGTTGCTGTCTGCAGTGGTGCGGAAGATAACGGGCAGGAAAGCAACCACCACAGCAACCAACCAAAGAACACACAGAAGCTGGTTGTAGAAAAGTGGTGGGAGTTTTGATGCACTTTTCGTTTGTGGAAGGACAGCAGATACAGGCAAGAAGGCAGGTCCACACACACACACACACACACACACAC